CACTGAGCAAAGATAAGCTGTCTTACTGTGTCCTTCCTGAATTCCTGACGTCATTCCACAAGCATTATAAAATGGTTATTTTATACCACTAAGTTTTGGGTATGTTAGGCAGCAGTAGTAACTGGAATAGTGTGTGTGTGTGTGTGTGTGTGTGTGTGTGTGTGTGTGTGTGTGTTTACATATTTCCTAGCTTGGTTTACAGAAGGGCTTAGAAACAATGGCATCCCTGTAGCAATAATGACGTCCACCACCCAGATTTTGGTTTCCAAGTACCATCTTATTAGAAGAAGCCAGAAAAAGACATAGCTGATTCTTGGGCTGAAGCAGCAAAAGTACAGATTGAGAGCATGGATAACCTCTTGTCAAGAAAGTAAGGAAGCACTCAAATAATGTTGAGAAAATTTCAAAAGGACACAGGATCCAGCTTGAAAGGCTATTTCATTTGCTAAATTTGGGATAATTTGCACATCAAAATAATAATGATAGTAACTGATTATAATTCATTAAGTAAAATAGAAATCCACAGTCCAGACAATAAATATGATAGTAATGGATTTTAGTTCATTTGAGTAAGATAGGAATCCATTATATGGATTATTATATGAATAAATGAGGGAGAAGGGAATGCTCTCTTTCATAGTAGATTGTTGACTAAAAGCTGAAGAGGAAATGATGGAGTTAAAAATCAGTATTTAATAAGTATTATCATGGAGATTATTCCAATGGGGGTTATCAATGGATGCTAAGGCAAATAGATAGAGATCTGATGATGTGGCAGATTCTTAGGAATTATAGACAGACAAGTGATGACTTTATGAAGAAGAAACCTGCCAAACTGGGTTGGTAGTACAGGAGTGAGGTGCATTCACTTCCTGCATTTCTTTTTTTTAATTTTTTTAATTTTTATTTATTATTTATGATAGTCACAGAGAGAGAGAGAGAGAGAGAGGCAGAGACACAGGCCGAGGGAGAAGCAGGCTCCATGCACCGGGAGCCCGACGTGGGACTCGATTCCGGGTCTCCAGGATCGCGCCCCGGGCCAAAGGCAGGCGCCAAACCGCTGCGCCACCCAGGGATCCCCCTTCCTGCATTTCTTGATGTAATTCACTGGCGCACTGAAAAGACACAACATCATATTTCTCTTGCTCTTATGTGGCACCTGGGTTGAGAGACACCTTGCAGAAATGAAAAGCCTATGCTCTTTAGTTTTGGGGGTTTTATTTTATTTTAAAGATTTTATTTATTTATGAGAGAGAGAGAGAGAGAGAGAGAGAGGCAGAGACACAGGCAGTGAGAGAAGCAGGCTCCATGCAGGGAGCCCGACGCGGGACCCGATCCCGGGTCTCCAGGATCACACCCTGGGCCGAAGGCAGGCTCTAAATCACTGAACCACCCAGGGATTCCAGTTTTGTTTTTAATTTTTTTTAATTTATTGAGAGAGAGAGAGAGGCGCAGAGACACAGGCGGAGGGAGAAGCAGGCACCATGCAGAGAGCCCCATGTGGGACTCGATCCCAGGTCTCCAGGATCACGCCGTGGGCTGCAGGCGGCGCTAAACCGCTGAGCCACCTGGGCTGCCCCAGTTTTGGGGTTTTTAAAAAGGATTTTATTTATTTATTTTATAGGGGGAGAGAGAGAGAGAGAGAGAGAGAGAGAGAGAGAGAGAGAGAGAGAGAGAGAGATGGGGGCAGATGGAGAAGCAAAGGGAGAGGGAGGGGAAAGAATCTCAAGCGACTTCATGCTGAGCCCTGACCTCAATGTGAAGCTCAGTCTCATGATTCTGAGATCATGACCTGAGCTGAAACCACACCCAAGCACCCCTAGCCTATGATCCTTATAACTGATTCTGGAAAGCCAAGGCAGATAAAGGATCTGCCCAGATTAAAGGAGACTGTAGATATGTGGCAACCAGATGCAATATGTAATTCTGGACCCAAAAGGCCAGAATTATATTATTAGATATATTATTGAGACAGCTGGTGAAATTTGAACGGTATCCAGGATGTGAACAGTGGTGTTGATTTCCTTTTTAGAATAGTGTATTAGTTTGCTAGGGCCATTGTAATGAAGTACTACAAACTTAGTGGCTTAAACAATAGAAATTTATTGCCTCATGGGTTTTTTTAAAGATTTTATTTATTTATTTATTTATTTATTTATTTATTTATTTATTATTTATTTATTTATTTGAGACACAGAGAGAGAGGCAGAGACATAGGCAGAGGGAGAGGCAGGCTCCCTGCAAGGAGCCTGATGTGGGACTTGATCCCAGACCCCAGGTTCCACAGCCTGAGCTAAAGGCAGAAGCTCAACTGCTGAGCCATCCAGCATCCCTGCCTCATGGTTCTAAAGGCTGGAAGTCTGAAATCATGGTGTTGGCAGGGTTGGTTCTTTCTAAACAACGATGTGAGAGAAAAGTCTAATCCAATGAGTCTCCACCAAGCTTCTGGTGGTTTGCTGGCAAGCTTTGGCATTCCTGGTCTTGCAGACCCATCAACCCTCTCTCTACCTTCATGCACACGTGGTGTTCTCATTATATGCAGGTCTGTGTCCAAATTTCCTCTTTTCATAATGACATTAGTCACTTTGGATTAGGTATATACCCTCCTGCAGTATGACTCATGTTAATTTATCCAATTACATCTATTATCACCCTATTTCCAAATAAGGTCCCATTCTAAGATACTGAGGGTTAAGACTTTACTATACAAATTTTGTGTGTCAAAATGCAACCCATAACAGATGGTTATATTGGGGTTGAGAGAAATGAGTAAATTTACCCAAATGTAGACAAGTGGGGAAGTAGGATGAAAAGGATACCAGTATTTTTTTTTTTTTGAGAGAGAGAGAACACCTGTGAGTGTGTGTGGGGGAGAGGGGTGCCAGGAGAGGCAGAGACTGGTGCGGGGCTCAATCACGTGACCCTGAGATCATGACCTGAGCCAAAATCAACAGTCGAACACTTAACTGACGGAGCCACCCATGCACCCCTGCATACTAGAGTTCTTGAAACCATTCTTAAATGTTTTCTGTAAACTTGAAATTATTTCAAAATTTTAAAAAAATCCTATGAAGTGCTAGGTTTATATATCATACAAGACATTGGTGCTGAACCTACCATGTGGAAGGAAAGATAAAGGTGTTTGTGTAGCATTATTGTAAACTTGCCTGAAATGTAAGTGAGAATATCAGAAATTAATATATTAATATAGCACTTCACAATTTACAAAAAGTAAAAACAAACAAAAAACTCCTTACGTGGGCAGCTCTGGTGGCTCAGCGGTTTGGCACCTCCTTCAGCCCAGGGCATGATCCTGGAGACCAGGGATCAAGTCCCACATCGGGCTCCCTGCATGGAGCCTGCTTCTTCCTCTGCCTGTATCTCTGCCTCTCTCTGTGTGTCTCTCATGAATAAATAAATAAAATCTTAAAAAAAAAAAAAACTCCTGACGTCATTTTCTCCTTATAACAATTCTGTGAGGAGAGAGATTTATTAGTTTTATTTAAAAAACTAGGGGCACCTTGGTGGCTCAGTTGGTTAAGCATCTGTCTTCAGCTCAGGTCATATTCCAGGGTCCTGGATTGAGCCCTATGGAGCTCCCTGCTCAGCAGGGAGCCTGCTTCTCCCTCTCTGTCTGTACCTCCCCCTGCTTGTGTTCTCTGTCTGTCAAATAAGTAAATAAATTTTTTTAAAAAATTAAAAAATTTGAATTTTTAAATTTGAATGGGGCAGCAGCAGATCAGAAGTGCTTAGGCATGCTCTGTAGACAGAGCATGGGGACAGACTTATATAGATAAAGTGCAGAAGCAAAGAAAGGCAATTACTTGACTGGATATATAGCTTAAAGCCTAGATGGCGGATCACCTGGGTGGCTCAATGGTTGAGCATCTGCCTTCTGCTCCGGGCGTGTTCCTGGGGTTGTGATCTCAGGGTCCTGGGATTGACCCCCACATTGGGCTCCCTGAAAGGAGTCTGCTTCTCCCTCTGCCTATGTCTTTGTCTCTCTCTGTGTCTCTCAAGAATAAATAAATAAAATCTTGAAAAAAGAAAAAAAAGCCTAAATGGCTGTGACTGTCCTCAGTGTTTTGATTTCCTATCCTTGAGGAATTTACAGGCTTAGGTTTTGATTTGCTAATGTAGGCCACCATGCCATTAGTGCCACCTCAGTCTAATGGCTTCCTTGTTGAATTAATTTAACATAAGTCCTCACTTGGTCAGTACATATACTAAACAAAAATTTAACACACCTCAAAAGTAATTTGTTTGAACCCATCCAGGTTTTTTGACTCTTAACACAGCCCTCTTGGGGCAACAGCAAATAATAACATAAGTTGACTCTACATAAGATTGTGATATCATTTGTACCTTTCGGTGGTGAACAAGGTCTTCCTATTAAGGTAAGTAAGAGACCCTAAAGGCTCCGGGTATGAGGTCTACCACCACACACTGCTTCCTCTGCTGGCTGCCCTACCTACCCCCTGCCCCACTTATCGCAGGGGTGGGGGGGGTCCTCAGGTCTCCACTGGGCTTCCATTTCTGTTATGGACTTTCCGGCCAGTGCCTGGGTAACAGGGACAAGAAATGGCCTTCAACCCTTGCCCCAGTGACAATCTCCTGGATGACACTCCCAGTTAGCAACTCTTCCTCAGAACTCCTGCTCTCATTATTGCCCCAACACTTAAGTCCTAATTACTCTCTGGCTCTGCTGACCAGTCACCATCTTTGTCTTTTTACAGACATTCCCTTGGGCCCCTGCCCTCCAATTATAGTTGGCCTCTGGACAGCATAGCCCAGAAATGAGGAGAGTGCATTGGGTTTCAACGGGTCTGCAGACTTAGGGAGAGGTAGGCCTGTGCAGGCTGGAGCCTGCTGCTGCTCTTCCACCCCCGCTTCAGTTCCCCTAGGCCTTTTCTCACCTCCCATTGGACAGCTGGAATGGGCTGACAGCGGCTTACTGGCTCATACTAGCTCCTCTTGTTCACCCTTTGTCCGTAGGGGCCCAAGACGCTGGGCCCTGAGCCTAGGGACCTGACATGACTGGACCAGCTTGCATAGCTCTCAGCTGGGCCTTCAGTTGACAGGTCACAGTTACAGTAAAGGTGGACAACCTTTATGTATCAGTTAGTCCGGACCATTTACATTGCACTGGATGATCATATGATGGTTTCAAAGGCTCAGAGGCTTCTCTCTCCTTTCTCTCTCTTTGGTGGGGGAATTAGGGTCAGGCCCAGCAGGTGTAAGACTTGCTGCGGCCATGCCCCTTAATCCTCGATTTGCTGAGCAAGGGCTTCCATCCCAGTCTTCCCTGATCCTGTCAGCTCTCAGACTATGAGTTAGTATGGCTGAGGAGGAAGGTGATGTGGACGAGGAGGATGTGTTCCTGGCATTTGCCCAGGGTCCCTGTCCTCCAAGGAGTCCCTTCCGTCGGGCCTTGGACAAAGCCTTCCTTGTCTTCCTGTTTCTCATCCTGACACTACTGACACTGGAGGCTGTTTGTAAGCTGCTGTGGCTGCTACCATGGACAAAGTTTGGGGACTGGCTCCTGAGAACACCTCAGAAGGAAGAGGAGCTGGAATTGTGACCACCTTTCCTATAAATATTCTCTTCCCCTGCTACAAAGGTGAGAGGGGAGGCAAGAGGGAAATGGGACTGCTGGGGGCTGTGCAGGGGACACTTGGATAGTTTAGAGCAGCTGTCTTAAATTTTTTTGCACCTATACTCTGGAAAATAATTTTGAAAAAGTTTGTACTTCTTGCATATTTTTAAGGAGCCATCTAAAAATTTTCATCATAAATTAAAATTGTTTCAAGGATGTAATTTCTGGCATATTAAAAACATTCACTTTTTTTTTAAACATTCACTTTTTAAAAAGATTTTATTTATTTGACAGAGAGCGAGAAAGCACAAGTGGGGGGGTGCGGCAGAGAGAGAGGGAGAAGCAGGCTCCCCACTGAGTAGGGAGCCCAATGTGGGACTTGATCCCAGGACCTTGGGATCATGACCCAAGCGGAAGGCACCCACTTAACCGACTGAGCCACCCAGGCACCCCCAAAACATTTACATTTAAAAATAAAACATATTACCCTTTAAATGTCCAGGGGAATGGTAATATCAGAGTGACCGGATAGTCACCACTACTCATTTATAAAAGATAAACAAGCTCTTAACAATTGGGATTATTCCTTTCCTTCTTTCATGAATCTTTTCTCCTCAAACACCTATTATCAGTCCACTTCCCTACAGACAATTTTAGGCTTTTATATGTGAAAGTCTTTTATTGACCAATCTATCATACTTCCCTGCATATACATATATATATATATTAACTGAAATGCAAAGTATTTTCCTTTCTTGTGACCACGGACAGCAAAGTTTTTTTTTTAAACTTCTCCATATCACAATTATTATGAGGACAGAACTGATTAAATGGCCTAAAGATTGCACACATTTTTAAAATAATTAAAAATTAGGAGCACCTGGGTGGCTCAGTGGTTGAGTGTCTGCCTTTGGTTCCTGTTATGATCCCAGGGTCCTGGGATCGAGTTCCGCATTGGGCTCCCTACAGGGAGCCTGCTTCTCCCTCTGCTGTGTCTCTGCCTCTCTTTCCGTGTCTCTCATAAATAAATAAATAAATTCTTTTTAAAAAATTAGAAGTACATTTTTAATGAGATAGGAAAGGTGGTGCTTATGGTACCTTGATGAAAGAAATAGGCTATTTTTTTTAAAGGTTCTATGTATTTATTTGAGAGACAGTGAGAAAGCATAATCTGGGGGGAGGGGAAAAGGGAGAGGGAGAAACAGATTCCCCGCTGAGTAGGGAGCCCCATGCAGGGCTTGGTCACAGGGCCCTGAGTTCATGACCTGAGCCGAAACCAAGAGTCAGATGCTTAGCCGACTGAGCCACCCAGGTGCCCCACTATATGTTTCTGTATTTAAGACAAGGTAAGATTTCATGATTTACAGGCATATTTTGGAAATTTGCATGTTTGGTTCCAGATGACCACAATAAAGTGAATATTGCAATAAAACAAGTCAAAGGAACATTTTTGATTTCCCAGTACATATAAAAGTCATGTTTACACTATAGTGTAGTCTATTAAGTGTGTGATAGCATTATGTCTAAAAAAACCCAATATACATATCTTAATTGAAAAATACTTTATTGTGGGGCAACTGGGTGGCTCAGTTAGTTAAGCATTTGACTCTTGATTTCTGTTCAGGTTTTGATCTCAGGGTCATGAGATGGAGCCCTGCATTGGGCTCTGCACTGGGTGTGGAGCCTGCTTGGCATTCTCTCCCTCTCTTTCCCTCCCCATGAGCATGCATGCACTCTCTCTCAAAAAAAAAAAATACTTTATTGCTAAAAGATGCCAAACGTCGTTTGAGTGTTTGGGGAGTTTTAATCATTTTGCTGGTGAAAGGTCTTTCCTAGGTGCTTTTGGCTGCTGACCGAACAGGGTAGTGGTTGCTGAAGGCTGTGTCAATTTCTTAAAATAAGACAACAATGCAATTTGCCACATCAATTGACTACTCCTTTCACAAATGATTTTTCTGTAGCATGTGATGCTGTTTGATAGGACTTTACCCACAGAAGAACTTTCAAAATTAGAGTCAATCCTCTCAGACCCTGCTGCTGCCTTATCAGCTAACTTTATGTAATATTCTAAGTCTTCTGTTGTCATTTCAATAATCTTAGCATCTTCATCAGGAGTAGATCTCATCTCAAGAAAACACTCTCTTTGCTCATCCATAAGAAGTTTTATCTTGAGATTACAGCCAATTCAGTTCCATCTTGAGGCTGCACTTCTGATTCTAGTTCTCTAGCTATTTCTACCATATCTGGAGTTACTTCCCCCACTGACATCACTGACGTCTTGAACCCCTCAAAGTCAACCATGAAGGTTGAAATCAACTCTCTCAAAACTCTTATTAATGTTGATATTTTGGCCTCTTCCCATAAATCATGAATGTTCTTTTTTTTAAATTTTTATTTATTTATGATAGTCACAGAGAGAGAGAGAGAGAGGCAGAGACATAGGCAGAGGGAGAAGCAGGCTCCATGCACCGGGAGCCCGATGTGGGATTCGATCCCGGGTCTCCAGGATCGCGCCCTGGGCCAAAGACAGGCACCAAACCGCTGCGCCACCCAGGGATCCCAATCATGAATGTTTTTAATGGCATCTACACTGATGAATCCTTTCATGAAGGTTTTCAATTTACCTCACCCAGATCCATTAGAAGAATTACTATGTATGCCAATGATAGCCTTATGGAATGTATTTCTTAAATAATAACCCTTGAAAGTCAGAATTATTCCTTGATCCATGGTCTGAAGAATGGGTGCTGTGTTAGCAAGCATGAAAACATTAATCTCATTGTACATTTTTATCAGAGCCCTTGGATGACCAGGTGCATTTTTAATAAGCACTAACAGAAAGGAGTCTTTGTTTCTGAGCAGTAGGCATTAACAATAAACCAGGCTGTTAAGAGATGTGCTGTCATCCAGGTTTTGGTGTTTCATTTATAGAGCACAGGCAGAGAAGATTTAGCATAATTCTTCAGGCCTCTAGGATTTTTGGAATGGCAAAGTAGCAATGGCTTCAATTTAATGTCACCAGCTGCATTAGCCCTTAACAAGAGTCAGCCTGTCATTTGGAGCTTTGAAGCCAGGGCACTGACTTCTCTCTAGCTATTGAAGTCCTAGATAGTACCTTCTTCCAATATGAGACTGTTTCATCTACACTGAAAATCTGTTGTTTAGTGTAGCCACTTTCATTACTTATTTCGGCTAGATCTTCTAGATAATTTGCTACGTATTCTGCACCAGTGCCTGCTGCTTCATCTTGCACTTCGTTACAAAGATGGCTTCTTTCTTTATACCTCATGAACCAACCCTGCAAGCCTCAAACTTTTCTTCTGAAGTGTCCTCACCTCTCTTAGCCTTAGGGCCTCTGAGAGTCAGGTTGTAGCTTAAGGGAGTGTTGTCGCTGGTTTGACTTCTATCCAGACCATTCAGGCTTCCCCCATATCAGTAATAAGGCTGTTTTTCTTTCTTATCATTCATGTGCTCACCAGAGAGGCACTTTTTTTTTAGATATTTGTTTTTTTTTTAAACTATCTTTATTTTTTTTTATTTTTATTTATTTATGATAGTCACAGAGAGAGAGAGAGGCAGAGACACAGGCAAAGGGAGAAGCAGGCTCCATGCACCGGGAGCCCGATGTGGGATTCGATCCCAGGTCTCCAGGATCGCGCCCTGGGCCAAAGGCAGGCGCCAAACCGCTGCGCCACCCAGGGATCCCTAGAGAGGCACTTTTAATTTCCTTCAAGAACTTTTCCTTCGCACTCACATCCTGACTTTTGGCAAAAGAGGCCTAGCTTTCAGCCTATCTCATGCTTTCAACATGCCTTCCTTGCCAAGCTTAATCATTTCCAGATTTTGATTTAAAGTGAGAGACAGGTGACTCTTCCTTTCACTTGAACACTTAAAGGTCTTTGTAGGGTTATTAATTGGCCTAATTTCAATATTGTTATGTCTTAAAGAATAGGGAAGGCTGAGGAGAGGGAGAGGGATGGGGAAACAGCTGGTCAGTGGAGCAGTCAGAACACACAGTATTTATTAAGTTCGCTGTCTTATATAGGTGTCATTTTTGTGGTACCCCAAAACTAAGACTATAGTAACACCAAAAAGCCACTGATCACAGATCACGGTAACAAATATAAAAGTAATGAAGAAGTTTGAAATATTGCAATACTTACCAAAATGTGACACAGAGATACAAAATGAACAAATGCTGCTAGAAATAGGATGCCAGTAAGGGCGCCTGGCTGGTTTAGTTGGTAGAGCATGCAACTCTCGATCTTGGGGGTTGTAAGTTTGAGTCCCATGTTGGCTATAGAGATTACTTAAAAATAAAATCTTTAGGGGCACCTCAGTGGCTGAGCATCTGCCTTTGGCTCAGGTGGTGACCCTGAGTCCCGCATTGGGCTCCCCAAAGGGAGCTTGCTTCTCCCTCTGCCTGTCTCAGCTCTCTCTGTGTCTCTCATGAATAAATAAATAAAATCTTGAAAAAAAGAAAAAATAGTACTGATAGATTTGCTTGATGCAAATCTTCAATTTGTAAAAAACACATATCTGTGAAGCACAATAAAATGAGGTATGCTTGCATGCATTTTTTTTTTTAAGAGGGAGCAAGTCTATTATAAAAGGGAACCGGAAGAAAGAAAACCTCTACTTGCAGGCATTTACTCAGATCAATTTTGGGAAAATCGAGAATCTGGAAATTAAATTCCTATGTCTCCTAAGTCTGCGTACCCTTTTGGGGAGTTTTCGTGTTCCCTAATTTGAAGACTGTAGGCTTACATATGGTGTGGGATTCTTGAATGGAAGTGAGGGTTTGAGGTTCTGGTACTCTGTGATCCTAGAAAGTGGCAAGATACTCACCACTTGTGGAAAGTGACGCAGGGGAGGAGAATCTCCGTGTTAACCGGTGTGACTTCCCCATAAGCTCGTATTTGGACCCAGCGTGGCCTCCATGAGTGCTTCCGGCCTCTTTAAAGTTGAGTGAGGTGCGGGTGTGGGCGAGGGGGCGTCAAAGTTGGTTTCTCGTCTCCCCGTTCTTTTCTCAGCTCTCCCAGAGGAAGAGGAAGAGACCAGTGGAGACTCAAGGTATTTTACAAGTCTCATTTCATCCAACAGCGGCAATTTGCACAGATTCTCCTCAAAGCCCCCGCCCCACATCGCGGTCCTATGGCCCTGGAGCTCCTGGACAAGGCACGGCCTCCAGGTCATCACTGCTTGCACCTCGGGCACCCCACCAGAAAGGAACGGAGAACCACCTAGGTCTCACCTGCTGGGTTGGTTATTAGTTCCTTGGAGGCGCTTAAAACGAAATCAATGACAATAGTAATAATAATAATAACAACAAATTTGTGTAGCGAATTGTGCTCGTTTGTATGCATGTGTTATGATTTCACTATTGGGAGGTGTGGGCACGGGGAAGTAGAAGTAGCTGCTGGACAGCGGCAAGGGAGCGCGCAGCCTGCAGAAAGGAAGGGGCAGGCGCAGTAGATGAAGCCGCGGAAAGGGTACCTGGCAGGTAGGAAAGCGGCGCCGGAAGGCTGGTCAATGGCCCAGCGGAAGGAAGAGGGTTTTTTCCCTCTTAGGAGATTCTCGCTCTCCTATGCACCCCTGCACAGTCTTGGAGGGCCCAATTCCTTAGCTGTCCTATTCCGTCCCCCCCTCCCCTACTTGGAAAGGTGGCTCAGTCCTTCCAGCACGCGACCCGCCGGCGGTTGGGCTGGATGCAGGAAGTTTCTGATTGGTGGAGTCGCAGAAGCACCGGGCGGAAAGAGCTCCGTCGGTGGCGCCCCCGAGTTCGGGCGTAGCCAGTACCGTACGGCAAGATGGCGGCCGCCAGGTACTTTGGGACGTCCTGCGGGGGCAAGCCCGCCCTCTACTGGTCACAGGAAAGAGAGCGGCATACTCTGTGGGCGGCACTGGGCGGGGGGGCGGGCCTACCGCCACTTCCTGCCGCAGGGGGGCCGGGCGCCGTACGACAATATGGCCGCGTCTAGGTGTCCGTAGGCGGAAACTCGGCGACTTCCGGTCCAGAGAAGGGCCTGCGGTGAGTGGGGGAAGGAAGGCGGAGGGAACCCTGCGAGGTTCTGAGATCAGCAGCGAGGGTCGCCTCGAGAGACCGTTTCTGAGGTGGGGGCCGGACCGTGCGGGGAGCGAAGGCAGGGGCGGGAATGTCGAGGGAGAGGTACTGGGGAGTCCCAGGCGCTGAGTCTGAGGGGCAAGCTGTGTGGTACCTTCCTTCCAGTCCCTGAAGGGGAGTGGGGCGGCCGGGGGCTGAACTGGGGGAGGGGGACTTGGCGGGAAGCTCTTTCGGGGGGAAGGGGTCGGATGCGGGGTTGGGATCTGAGAGGAATCCGGAGAGCTCAGTACTGGGCTCACAATCGGTTACAGGTCAGAGAGAGAGAATGGGGGAATTCGGGTGGGGTGAGAGGGAGGGGACTTGAGGTGAGATCTCTCCAACCTAACGCCCCGGTTTGAGGAGACCCGTCAGAGGGTGGAATGTGAGAATAATCCCAGGAGGGGAAAGGGGAATGGATTGTTGGGAGAGAACCTCCTTCGCTTCTGAGAGTCTAGGAGTTGGGGGTGATCCTTCAGGATGGGATGAGGGTGTGGATTTGACGTGTTTGAGAGTGAAAGGGGGAAGGCTGGTGAGGTGGTGCTGACGGGGATGTGGTATCTGTGCGAGGGAATGTCGAGGAAATCCAGAGTGCACACGTGCAGGAGGTGGTCGAGAGATTGGAAGAGTCAACTCGGCAAGTATGAGAGATAGTGGGGAAATGAAACAGACTGGATCTCGACAGAAGGGGTAGAGCTGGGGGTGGGGACTTAAGGTTTTCAGGTGGTTTCAGGTAGTGAAAGGCCAGAAACGTGTCTGGTACTAGTGGTTGCTGAAGTTAGGCAGTGAGGACACTGTTGAGCAGGGCTGGGTGTTACTGAAACCCAAGAAGATTGGAAAATGTGTGAGATGAAGGGAGGGGCTATGCTGGAGGGGCTCTTTCTGAGGCCCCATCCCCTTCCAGCAGGAATTCCGAAATCCCCAACACTTTCTTCCTCCGGGGGGATTTGATCCCCCATGGCCACCGCTAACAGCATCATCGTGCTGGATGATGATGACGAAGATGAAGCAGCTGCTCAGCCAGGGCCCTCCCACCCACCCCCCAATCCGGCCTCACCCCAGGCAGAAGCCCCTGGCTCCTCCCAGCCCCATGGGGCTGGAGGAAGCAGTAGTTCTGGCGGCAAGAAATGCTACAAGTTGGAGAATGAGAAGCTGTTTGAAGAGGTGAGCTTTAGGGGAGAAGATTCTTGTGCCCCAGGGAGGGGGATGGCTGACTGGCTCTGTAGTCCTTTCTTCCCCACTAATCCCGCCTTGCCTTCTTTCTCTCAACCCCTCCCCTTGTCTCTTTCCCCCCTCCCTTCTTCTCCTGAAACCTCCAGTTCCTTGAACTCTGTAAGATGCAGACAGCAGACCACCCTGAGGTGGTCCCATTCCTCTATAACCGGCAGCAGCGTGCCCACTCTCTGTTTTTGGCCTCGGCGGAGTTCTGCAACATCCTCTCTCGGGTCCTATCCCGGGCCCAGAGCCGGCCAGCTAAGCTCTATGTCTACATTAATGAGCTCTGCACTGTTCTCAAGGCCCATTCAGCCAAGAAGAAGCTGAACCTGGCCCCTGCTGCCACCTCTAGTGAACCCTCTGGGAATAACCCTCCCACAGACCCCTCCTCGGACCCCACAAATGCCGAGACCACTGCCTCTGAGGCACCAAGGACCCGTGGTTCCCGGCGGCAGATCCAGCGCTTGGAGCAGCTGCTAGCGCTCTATGTGGCAGAGATCCGGCGGCTGCAGGAAAAAGAGTTGGATCTCTCAGAATTGGACGATCCAGACTCCACATACCTGCAGGAGGCAAGGTTGAAGCGTAAGCTGATCCGCCTCTTTGGGCGGCTTTGTGAGCTCAAAGACTGCTCTTCCCTGACGGGCCGTGTCATAGAGCAGCGCATTCCCTATCGCGGCACCCGCTACCCAGAGGTTAACAGGCGCATTGAGCGGCTCATCAACAAACCAGGGCCTGATACCTTCCCTGACTATGGAGATGTACTGCGGGCTGTGGAGAAGGCAGCTGCTCGGCACAGTCTTGGTCTTCCCCGACAGCAGCTCCAGCTCATGGCTCAGGATGCCTTCCGAGATGTGGGCATCAGGTTACAGGAGCGACGCCACCTTGATCTCATCTACAACTTTGGCTGTCACCTCACAGATGACTACAGGCCAGGTAGGGATTAGTGAGATGCCTACTGGTAACCCTTGTATGTCAGATGTTTGGTGGAGGGAGCATCTCTCTAGTCCCTTCTTCTAAGGTTTGGGCTGAGTACTCTGACTTTATATCTTCTCATGTAGGCATTGACCCTGCACTGTCAGATCCTGCCCTAGCCCGGCGCCTGCGAGAAAACCGGAGCTTGGCTATGAGCCGGCTGGATGAGGTCATCTCCAAATATGCAATGATGCAAGAAAAGAGTGAGGAGGGTGAGAGGCAGAAGAGGAGAGCTCGGCTTCCCCAAGCTACCTCTTCCCACTCTACAGACCCCCTCAAAGCCTCCTTGGATTCTGGTGAGGTATGGAAGGGATAAACCCTTCAGACAGACCTTGTCCTTTCCTTGCACTGGCCAACAAGGATTTCAGGGTCATTGAGGGGGAAGAGTGTGGAAGGAACACGAGAACCAGATCCTCTGGGGCAAGGGATTCCTTAGAGAAACTCCTTTGTCCCCCCAGGGCCCTAGTGGAATGGCATCCCAGGAGTGCCCTACCACCTCCAAGCCTGAGACAGATGATGAAGAAGATGAGGAAAGTGAAGAGGAAGAGGAGGAGGAAGAAGAGGAAGAAGAAGAGGAGGCCACAGATTCTGAAGAGGAGGAGGATCTCGAACAGATGCAGGAAGGTCAGGGGGACGATGCAGAGGAGGAGGAGGAGGAGGAGGAGGCAGGTATGTCAAGAACAGTCCCTTTTTGTGTCAGTTCCCTCTATTCTGTTGGATGTGAACCACCTGTTTGAGACCCTTCCCTTCTTCCTCTTACTCTCAGCAATATTCTTTCCCCAAGTTCTCATGCTCCCTCTCCCCTCTTTTCTTCTTTTCCAGGTCAGGATGGAGACAAGAGCCCTATGTCCCCACCACGGATCTCCACTGAAAAGAATCTGGAACCTAGCAAAGGGATCAGCAGGTCTATGGAAGAGCAGCAAAACAAAGAATTCACGGTGTCACCATCATCAGAAGAGCCCTTGGCCCCCTCCAGCATAGATGCTGAGAGCAATGGAGAAAACCTTGAGGAGTTACTCCTGGAGGAAGAGAGCCCTATATCTCAGCTCTTTGAGCTAGAGATCGAAGCCTTGCCCCTGGATACTACCCCTTCCCCTGAGGAGAGGGACATTTCCTCTTCCAGGAAGCAGTCAGAGGAACCTCTCACCACTGTCTTGGAGAATGGAGCAGCCATGGTCACCTCCACTTCCTTCAATGGAGGGGTGTCGCCTCACACCTGGGGAGATTCCTGTCCCCCCTGCAAGAAGTCTCGGAAGGAGAAGGAAACTGGAGCAGAGCCATTAGGAAACAGGTAACAACAACAAGGAGGAAGAATAGGGAGGCCAAGGAGACATTACAGGGGGCTTTCTGAGAGGAATATTGAGGAACTGGGTCTGCTGGGAGAAACTGGACACTCCCCCTCTAGCCTCAGGCTCTCCATACCTCCCTACATATTTGCGTTTCTGTCCCTAGCTATGTGGAAAGGCAAAGGTCAGTGCATGAAAATAATGGAAGGAAGATACCTACTCTGCCCAGCCCACCTTCTCCCTTGACTTCCATGGCCCCAGTTGCGGATTCCTCAACGAGGGTGGATTCTCCTAGCCATGGCCTGGTGACCAGCTCCCTCTGTAGCCCATCTCAAGCCCGGTTGTCCCAAACCCCTCATTCACAGCCCTCCAGACCTGGTACCTACAAGGTAAGAGGGGGAGGCAGTTTTTCCCTGACTTAATTCTCTTTCATTGTCTGTTCAGTTTCAGGTTTTCCATCTGAATATTGCACACACCACATCCTCTCTCTTCCTTTTTTTCTCACCCCAATTTTTAATCTCGGATAAGTCCTTTCCTCTGCTCCTCCTCCCCGTATATTCCCAACGCTGCTTTCTGACTCTGTCTCTCACTCCCCTGCAGATGAGTGTGGCCACACAGTGCGATCCAGAGGAGATCATCGTGCTCTCAGACTCTGATTAGCTGCCTCTCCTCCCACTCCCAGCCTCCAAAGTGTTTTGGGATAGTATTTGGAGGATGGTGGGAAGCTGATGACTGAGGAAGGGATTGACTGAGCTAATCCCCTTTTTAGTGGTGTTTCTTTAAAAAACAAAAACAAAAAACCAACAAAAA